AAAAAAAAAAGCGGCGAAGAGCTCTTCCCAGACAGGCCTCGTAACGTCGGCGGGGCCTGGAGAACATCTCTGTGGCTAAACACAGCGAGGGGGAATCAAATCAACAACCACACCTTTGGGTCACATCAGATGCCACATCATAATTACCAGATACATTAACACACACTGTAAACGTGACGAATGCAGGCGAGAGGGGAGCGCACACACACACACACACACACACACACACACACACACACACACACCTACACACACACATCATCCTCTCTGAACAAGGTGCCACCGAGATAGAAAGATGATGGCAGATAACTGTGCTTTGGTAAGTGGAGGAGTGTGTGTGAGTGCTCGTTCATACAGAACCTGAAGTAGTGTTTAGTAGGGGCCTGCGAGCGCCAGTGTGTGTGAGTGCCTATACACTAATGCCTCTGCGTGTGCTCTTTATACCTCGTGTGTGTGTGCGCGTTAACATGCACTCACTCTGGTGTAATTATGCAAATTGAAAGTCTCGCTGCTCTCTCTGGCTTTAGCGTTGAGCCTGGCACTTTGCTTTTATGAGTGTCTTCCCACCCGTGGCTATTGATGTGTGTGTGTGCGCGCACGCACATGTGTGTGTGCGTACACAATAGTCCCATCACATCAGCAAGCTAAATTATGTGACAGAACGAGCAAACAGTGTTTGGTCCAGCAGGGTATTAGGGCAACCAAAGCACCGACCAAAGCATCCTGCTGTAAATTTAAATTGGTCTGCCCGTGCGCTTAACACCACAGTTTTTGTGTGTCATGCTTTTGGCTGTATGTGTGTGTGTAAATGACTATTTCTTTTTCTTCTTCGCGCTGGGATTCCAGGAGAAATGACCCCTAATCTTACCGGTGTCAGAGCTTCGAAAAATATTGCGACAAAGTGCGCTGACATAAATGTTTATGTGAATGACCAGGGAACAGGGTGATTTAAAAAATAAATAAAATAAATAAATCACAAGGTTTTGCTTTGTACCTGAGCTTAACTTTCCAGTGCCTGCTGGGAGTAAAGTGTAAGCACTCTCTCAGTGAAGACGCAGCAATAGCTGGGCTTTCTATAGCTGATATGAACAACTCAAGTGTGTTTACATCATTGATCAACAACAGCAGCTACTCTGGACTTACCATCAAGCCCTATTATGTCCACAGCATCCCCTGTACCCGTGCATATTGTCGTATCTTTGATCTCTCCTCACAGAGGGCATTAGGCCTATCAAATCGCTGTGTGTAAGCTGTAATGTAATTGCTATGGGCTCTGTGGCTATAACATGATTGCTGTAATCCATTTGTGTGCCGGTGCTGCACATGTGACGTCTACACGAGGTCCGACAGGTTACTCTGGGACATTTCCATTCGACACGGTTTGACAAGTCGCATTTGCACACGCGCGCACACACGTGCACGCAAACGGCATAGACTTCCACGGGCCGACATGTTGCATCAGAATGTGGAACGCTTGCAGATGGAAATTACAGGGAAAAAAGGAAGCGAGGTTATAGAATATAACCTGACATAAACCTCAAGGCTTTCCAAGTAATCTCCATATAATAAACTCTATATAGAGAAAAGAAGGACAATTAGGATGCAAATGTTGTATTTGCCCAAACTAACCAGCTAATGTGGGGCTGCTTTTTTTGCTCATTCTTATTGTTTAATCCCTTCATTTCTCAAAATGTTTGAAGCAAGCGACAAGTCAAGTTCCAACTTCCAATCACTTCCTGTCCCAGAAGGTGCATTACTGTCAGGTATCAATCAAAGCAACGAATTCGACAACTCCATTAAACCCAACACTCTCACTTTGGGTCTTTATCTTCACATTGCTTGTATGTGCGCGCTCACACAAAAACACATGACGGTGGGTTTTTGAGAGAGGGGAAAAAAAAAAAAAAAAAAAAGTTGCACGCTTCCAAACTATATTGGGAAAACTATCTGACAGGGTGTGATGGGACACAAAAGACAGCACATGGCCCCTCTGGCTCGCATCTGTCGCAAATCATCCCTCTCTATCAAACAGCAAGATAAGATTTTAAGAGAAAGCGCAGGGTCAGGGGCCTCATGTGGCTGTGGGTGTAGTGTTCACATGAGGCAGACAGAAATGAAGGTCAGGGATTTCTTGTTTTTTTTTTTCTTTTTCTTTTAAATGATATTTTTTTATGTACAGCTGCTACCAAACAATATTCTAGCATGCTGCTATGCTTCTCTGCAAAAGTTTGTTGAGGGAATAAATGCATGTAGAAAACAAAAAAGAAGGAAACTACATAGAGCAGAATGTGATTGTTCACAAATAATAAATAAAAACGGAACCACAAATGATGCACATGTTCAGCACAGCAGAGGAAAAATAATGCTAATCTTGGCTAAAACGATGAGTTTTATCTTTAGGTCACAGCGGGAGATATAATCAATAGACGAGCTGAACGGCACACTTTGACTGCTAATACTAATAATTAATCACAGTCTGAGACGACCACAGGGAGCGTCCCAGTTATTCTTCGGCGTGCGGTGAGCAAAGCGATGCTCCAGCCTCGGTTCGTTTTCTATGAGGGCGCCGCAACACGTTTGACCCTTCACCGGTGATTCTGCTTTTACTCTCGTCGAATCAATTTATCGTTGGTCTCAGTCTGAATGGTTCCTGTAATGGGATTTGTTGACATTAAGGGAAAGGATCAGCCTTTAAGTATAATTGTATTAAAGGTATTTTTTTACTGGATTTGATCTGAGTTCTTTTAAATTTCAGGTATGAGCACAGGGGACGAAATGTGTTTATCTTACGCTGCTGAGTCTGAGTTAGTCAGGAAGTATAAATCTTCCAAAGTTAGTCATTTTAGTTGCTGTTTTTCCCCTGGACAGCGTTTCCCCTGAGCTGATAGTAACAAGAAGAGGGAATTTGACACTAGAAAGGCTGGAAAACATGTTTGTTTTTTTCTAACTCAGATGGCTAAAGATGCATATCAGCCGCTGATAAAACTCTGAATACGCTTCTGCACAAAACAAGGACCATAGTTTAACTTAGACACCAGGGAGGGATCTGGGATGATTACAACAAAAATCTTCTACTGATTATTACTTTACGACAGACTAGATAATATAAGCTCAAACCAGTGTTTCTTGCTTTTCACTGTCTGGCTTTAAGACGAATGGAAGTGCGGTTTATCTTCCAGTGATGGGACACGTATTGTGTTGTAATGCTGTTTACACTGCGTGAGATTCCTCATTCACGATTAGATAACAGCAAATGTACACAAACAGTCCTCTTCTCTCTGTGATACGAATGCTTCCTCAGGCTTACCGGGCCGTGGCAGGTCAAAGAGTCGTCGTCGGCGCGTTCACACTGGGCGTCGCACTCCACGCACACCGACCCGTTGGCGTACTCTCGAATCTCCCTGAGAGCGACAGATTAAAGACGGGGGAAAGTGTGATGGGTGGGAAATAAAAAGAGACGAGAAAGGGAACAAAGCATTATTTGTGAACAGTTTGTTAAACAGAGGCACGGTATAGCTTCCTACTCAGTTATCCCTTTTAATAAAATATGCCACTCTGCTTTAGCAGCAGGTACGAAGGGAGCCGGAAAAGCTGAGCGACAAGTGTGCAGTAACCTCTATTCCATTTGACGGAATCATACGGCACTTTTATTTAATATAAATCTGCGCTAACCTCAGCAATAATGTGAAAAATATGTATTTTCAACCAAACCGATGTGTCCTTGTGAAGCAAAGAGACTCTCAAATAATCCTTTCCTATCTATTATCCTGCTGACAGGTTTTAGTCAGCGGCTAGAAATCTAAGAGAAATGTCTCCGTGTCACCGAAAGATGTGATTAAAATGTTACACAGCACAATGTAAATAGTTATTAAAGTCCCTCCCGGTCATTTATAGAATCTCACAAAACTCATTTCTGTGCATCAAAGTTATGCATTTAGACGGTTTTCTCTTAAACATATACCTATTTTTCATACAACAGTGTAGATGTAAGTCTATACTGTTGCTTCCTCTAGAATGTGGGAAATCCCTGCCTCTTTCTCCAACCACCCTCTTATCCTGCTCGCTGCAACTCAAGCACACCAGCTCACCTTCGACTCCATGCTACACAATAGCAATTTTAGCAACATATGCTAATGGCATCAACCAATGCTAAAGAGAAATAATGATACAGAACTTCCCACCATCCATCCATCCATCCATCCATCCATCCATCCATCCATCCATCCATCCATCCATCCATCCGTCCATCCCATTATCCATTAGGCCCCATCCCATAGCACACAGGACCCAAAGGATGCACTTCCCTTCCCAAAGAGATCCTATGTCAAAGGCCCAATGAGTTAGAGCTGTTTTGGAATTACATATGGGACATACAGAACATGAATTTGGTGGTTTTATTGTTATTTTATACCAAATCTGAAAATGGAGGTGACATATGACTTCTTCTATTTTTGCACATTTCTCACACTTAAATGTTCCAGATCCATCCATCTATCATCTATACACCGCTTCATCCTCACTAGGGTCATGGAGGGCTGGAGTCCATCCCAGCTGACTCAGGGTGAAGGCAGGGGACACCTGGACAGGTCACCAGTCTATCACAGGGCTACACTTAGAGACAGACAACCAAGCACACTCACATTCACACCTCCGGACAATTTAGAATCACCAATTAACCTCAACATGTTTCTGGACTGTGGGAGGAAGCTGGAGAACCCGGAGAGAATCCATCCAGAACATGGAGACTCCACGCAGAAAGATCCCGGGTGTCCCCACCGGGACGCGAACCAGCGACCTTCTAGCTGCGAGGCAACAGTGCTAACCACCGAGTCACCATGCAGCATCTTCCCATCTTCAAGTTTATTTTGTATGAAGGTCTGAATCCATGTGTTTGGTGCTGAAGCTGGAAATGCTCATTTATGGAGCTGACTGTTTATTTGGCTTATGGTATGTCTTCTTTTGAACATAAACATGTGAACAAGGTCAAACAGTTAGAAAGTCACCACTATTTTTTTTTTTTTTTTTGATTTGGGGTCTCTGATCATTCTCCATGTCGAATATTCTCACATTCAAAAGAAACGGTATCGACTAAATGTAAACAGTCCAGTTTTGATATCATGCACAACTGCAAAAAAAAATCCAAAACAAACAAACGGGTAACGATCTGCTGAGCTCCTGCTAAATACCAATCAAGCCTCAATGTCAACCTCACATTTTATTCCCCAGAATCTTTTTCATCAAGTTTTGTGAATGATCCCTTTCAGTCAATAGCGTCTGAATCAATCCAGAGGAAACACGGCAGCTGGAGAGCTTGAGAGACGAGTTATCATTGGTGGTGGATAACTAAAGGTCAGTGGATGCAGCTGTAGCATGAGCAGTGTACACGACACACAAACACACACATGCACGCGTGCTCCTGTTACTCCCAACACCATCGTAGCTAATTAGCTAACCGTAGCAACTGATACCATCACTCAGGGGGTCGACGCAGTTGAAAGGTGCAGTACCTGCGAGGTCCTGGTGCTTTCAAAAATCAATTAAATTAAGTGCCTTGTTATTCAATTTCTGCAATCCCCTTATAATAGCAGAACACCGGAGTGGCCTCGAAAAGTCATTAAATTTGACCACACTGCGACTGAGTTGGCACTTTGCCTTTGTCACTAGAGGAGAGGGGAGAGTAAATTTTGCGTACTTCTCTTTTGGTCAGTGAGGAGAAAAACAGTGTTCTCAGCAGTGGAGAAAGAAAAAAATAAAAACCCCGTTGCCGTCCCAGTGGGAACGAAATCAAATTAGTATTAATTATGCTTCATCTGGCCTTCATAAAACCTTCCAGGTGGCAAGGAAGGTAAGTCTTTGTCTGAGTGTGTGCTGGTTGAAATAAAAAAATAAAAAAATAAAAGAGGCTGCAGTGCATAGCTGGGGGATATCACTGACACTCTATAGGCTGTCGTGTGATGTTCTGTCGCGTTCCTGTGTTTTCTGTTTGCTGTAGGACAAAGATAAAGCAACACATTCGCAGTGAGTGATACACAATAATAATAATAATAATAATAAATAAAAACGTCATTGAGACATCACGGCCGCATCTGAAATAAAAATGTGGGCCAAATAAAAGCATTAATAGACTATTTCCAGGATGGTTCTTCCGTGAATAAGACGGCGAAGGGTCACGGCTGACTCTTTGTGTTTGGTGGTGCCGCTGACGGTGTGGGTGCTGACGTGCAGGTGGACAGGTAGGCAGGGCGTGGCCCCGTGCGCAAGCAGTGACTGTGACACGCAGTGACACGCCTAGCCCCCCTGCCCTAACAGCACCTCCTGGTCCTCCTCACTCCTCTCCAACGCCGCCGCCCACTATTTTTTTTTTTATACGGTCAAACTGGGACTCTGAACTTAAAAGCATCTTTTCCACAAGTTCTGAGAGGGAATAAATCTAAAATGTCATTAACGCAAGTCCCCCGAGGGAGCGCGTCTTATCACCTTTTCTCCGGGAGGTAGATAGCATCAAGCTATATTTCCTTTTAAAGTCGAGGGACCCCTATTGTTACGACACTCTGCAGGGGTGCCTTTTACACCGAGAGTTACCGCCACTTCTTAAATTGTTCTTTTCACCCCCCTGGCTCTTAATATCATCCCCAGTAAACAGGGGGGGAAAAAAAAAAATTATTGTTAAACTTGAAAACCGTAACAAAGAGCCTCGGGTTATTCTTAAAAACTTTTGATGAGCAGGTGGTGCAGCAGGTCTTCTGATGATAGATTAATATTATTATTATTATTATTTTAGGTCAACCCATCCTAGTCAGAGCTGAACAAGACGAGACAAACTCTACTTGCAATTAAATGTCAAGGTATTTTTTTATATAAATATATTTAAAAAGTGGTCAAAAGCTGTGTGTGTTGATGAATTGCATGTAAATGACAGAATAGCTTCTCTGTGGTTTGCGTCATATTGAGCTCATTAGTGATTTCGAGGGCCGTTGCATATTCAGCAGCATAATCGGACGTTACTGCCGTTGTTCACTTTAGCACGATTACTACAAGTTAACCTCGGTTGACCCGTGCTGAACAGCTTCCCGTTGCAGGAGGAAACAAACCATTTTCATGATGGACTACACACTCCGAATGAAGAATCTACACCTTCTGTGAAAACGAGAATTGCAACTTACAAGTCAAATAGCGAGGTACTTTATACGGTTTGGAAAAGCTAAAACATTAAATATCGTTCATGTTTTCGGCCAAACTCGCGGTTTCCTCTGCGGGCGGCGAACCGAAACAATCAGAAAGCGCCTCGGATGGCACTGAAGAAAATTTAACTTTCTCCTCTCCTGGTTGAGGAGTGCATTTTTGATTGCGTACATGAAGCCGAGGTGAATTTCATTTCCGTTTGGCATTGACAGAGTGCTATATTTTCTCTTACTCCGCTGGTTGCTGGGGGAGTACGGGTATATGCTCCGGCCACGTCCACCGCTTCAAAAAGCCTCTTGTTGGTTACCATAGAGACTTGACAAACTTTTTTTTTTTTCAACTGTACATCTCCAAGGTCTGTGTGGCTGACCATACGTGACGCTGCTGAGGGACTGGGAGGAGGGAAGGCGGTGATTTTTTTTTTTTTAGAAATGAAAGCTTTCTGATGCAGCAAACCTAAAAAGGCGAGTTTTCTAACTTAAAAGCCCATGCACAGTGGAGGACAACTTCACTGAAGGTCTTGTTGGCTCTGAATCTATAGATCTGAAAGCTCAACCACACGCCAACAATAAAATGGAAAACTGTCACTTCTGACAAGCCACAACCTCTGGGGTTGGTACTTCTGTTGAGTCCGTTTGGATGTTCATGCAGTAGTTTCTGGGAGGTTTGTACAGCTTCTCTCAGTGACCCTCCTGAACATGCAGCAGCGAACAAAATTAACATAATCATCACTAAACAAATGATACGCACGGACAGAACCGGCAGCGATGCTGATTGATACCGGGATGACAAAAGCAATATCTGCTCCATGTGCTCCTGTATTTCTGTGTATGTGTGTCGGCGCCCTCCAGATCTGTAGTGATTCATCTGGCAGATACAATAAGGCGATGGCAGGAATGAGAGAAAAGCCATTTTCATTTTGTCTTCGCTAATATCTGCGTTTCTCCTGGTTTACCTACAGACGCGGGTTTAATGCGCAAAAAAAAAAAGGGGGCGAAGGTGCGGTTTGGATACAAACGCTGTAGCAGTCACATTATCCACCTCGCTCTCCTTGAACAGAAACATTGATCTGTTTCTACTGTGATCTCTCTCCATTGTGGGTCCAGCCTGAGTTGTAATCACGGTGAGATTGAGAAAAGTTACTCGTTATAACAAAAAAAAGCTGAGCAATTTTGTTTTTTTCCCGCCTGCCTGCCAATATTATGCTGCCTCAGTATTACGGCGCATGCATGAAGAAAAGTTAGCAGTTATCAAAGGTGAATTGTAGAGAGAACACTAGAGCACAACAGACTTTTTATTTTTTTTATTTTTCTTTTAATCAATCCCCCCCATCTGCCGTCTCCCTCAGTCGGTGTAGTAGCGAGAGCGTTACCCAGCCTGAAACCATACATCCATTTATCCATCTGCTATTTATCCATCTGTCACATCACCACTGTGTCGGTGGGCTGCGTCTGCCTGTGTCTGTGCAAACTCACCCTTCGTAAAGGTTGCAGGTATCCACACAGGTCCGACCGCGACTGAAGAATCGGCACGACAGGCACTGGTCCGGGCCGGGACCCCAACAGCCAGCGTCTGAGCACAGGGGGTCGCACACCATGCGCTCCTTGGCTGCTCAACGCACACAAAGAAAAGACAGCAAATGATTTGTATGTCATATAGAAAGCAGTCGTTGCTGCAGACGTGGGGAATAAACCCTAAATTCCACTCCCCAAATTAGCTGGGTATAAAATTAGCCAAAATAATCCCATTATTTATGAAAGCCCAGATCTACGAAGGCACATGCAAATTTGTGAGGGCTTTTTTTTTTTTTGCATTAAATTTCTCCGCCTCCACAGAGCAGCTGTTCATTTGTGGTGGCCTATAAAAGCAATGTTTTTTTTTTGTTTTTTGTGGGGGACAGCTTTCCCAAACAATAGCAGGAGTAATTGCAGCAAGACAGAGGAATAGGTGTGCGGCTGAAAGATGTACCGAGTAAACAAGAAATTGTCAAACAATATTCACTGAACAGTCGCAGAATAATTAGCCTCCTGGATGAACTGAAAAACGACCTCCCACGAAAAAAACAAAAACAAAAAAAAAAACCACCCCAAGCATCTTATTTTAAAACATTAGATTAATTAATCCACTAGATGATGACTGGGAGGGCTGTGCAGTAGGAGTGTATATACTGTATGTTCTGTCTCTGTGTAGCTGTTCGGTAGGTTTTACTGTACACTTAGCAAAGGAGGGAGTTGAGCTGCTTCATTATAAAAATGCTGAGCAAACGATGACAAATTACCAGCGAGACCCAGAAAACACCTGCAGATGCCACACGGACTTGTTGATTTCACACAAAGGGGAAGAAAAGTAAGAAAACCGAGCTGAAACTTCATCGTCTGTATTAATTTGAAGGATAATTTAAAAATAGAGTTCGCTTATAATTCTTGGTATTAAAAAGCAATCACATGAAATGAATAACACTGATTGTCTTATTACAATGAAATGCTCTGCTTCCTCAGGTCCTGGTCTTTATATGGACTTTGATGGACCAAGCACTCCCCACCAAGTGGCAACAGCAGGACAATGCGCCCCGCCACCCTGGCACCCGACCTCCAAACTCCTTAGATCTGATTAAGTATCTGCGGGATGTGTTGAAACTGATCCATGAAGGCTCCAGTCCACAACCCAGAGCTACTAAATCAAATCAAATCAAATCAGGTTTATAGTCATGTTACTGTACATACACAGTAGTGCAGGTAAGATGAGAGAGCGTTTCTTCAGGATCATTTGCAGAGTTTTGCAGAATGAACATCTGGGATAAGACACTAAACGGTCGCTGTCGCTGTCTCCTGAAGGGGGCGCTGCGTCCATCACTGGAGAACCTCTTCAGGTCCTGGTAGGTCTTCAGGGACACAAAGACACACACGATGGTGAAGCTGCAGATGCTGCCCAGAGCTGTCTGTCCGTCTGGGATGCTGTCATGGAGCCATGTTTCTGTTAAAGCAGACACTCAGCAGTCTTTCCACTCTCTGAGGGTTTCTTCCAGCAAACGTCCAGCTTGTTGTGGAGGGAGCGGACATTGGAGAGCAGGAGGACGGTCCTGCTGGTCTGGAGGGGTTAGCCCAGGGGTGTCCAATCCTGGTCTTCGAGGGCCACAGTCCTGCATGTTTTAGATGTTTCCTTCTTCCAACACACCAGATTCAAATGATCAGCATCGTTATCAGGCTTCTACAGAGCTCCATGATGAGCTGATCATTTGAATCAGGTGTGTTGGAAGAGGGAAACATCTAAAACATGCAGGACTGTGGCCCTCGAAGACCAGGATTGGACACCCCTGGGTTAGCCTTTAGCCTAGCATGGATCCCGGCTCTCTTCCTCCTCCTTTGTTTACGTTCGTACCATTTGTGCTTCCTCCTCTCTCGGGTAACTGCTGGCATCGTCTCAGATCAGACTCAATGTTGGTGTAGTTTGTCCACATCACAACTGATCGCTGCAATTTTAGTGCCGTTGACTGTCCTGACATTCAGCAAAGTCTCCTGGCTGCAAGTTTTGCAGAATGGGATGGACAAGACACTCAAAATGTTCACTTTCGTTGTTTCCTGAAGGGGGCGCTGCGTCTATGCATCACCATGGCACATGCTAGAGCATCTGGAGCCAACATTCCAGTGCTGGACACCCACCGAGGTTCTGGACCAGGTACTGGTTTAGGTGGCACAAGACAGTGTCAGGTGATGTTGTGGTTGATTGGTGTACGAATTTATTGATAACATAATGATACTATCTCAACAAAAAGGTCGGCTACCTGCTTTCAACACAAAAACTCCTGCGATGCAACTCACAGGCTGCAAACAAGTGTTTCTGGCTGTTTGGCTGTAAAGGCGCAATATAACCCACCTTTGATTTACAACGATACGAGCATGAAAAATGTAGGTTTGATTTATTTTCCATCGCATTTAGCCATAAAAGGAAGCTGCCCCTTTCTTTCATCCCGTTGCTGGTGAACAATCTGTATTCTGTTCTCTCTGTTTCTGCCTCGCTGTTTTTCATACACTACCAACTGACTCATCTGCTCTGTAATGGCCTGAATCTCCAATCTCTCTCTATCTTTTGTCCCCCTGTAGCACTTGGTTCTACAAAGGTTGGTACATTTGAGAGCATTACAGGAAAAAAAAAAAAAAAAGGAGAAAGGAAAGTGTTGAAGCAACACGGTGACAGCACTACAGATACACTGGGAACTTTTATCAGCATCTAAAACGATTTTTTCCCCCCTTGTGTTGGATGAAACAGATTCTCCTCTTCTCTTCTCTTCTCTTCTCTTCTCTTCTCTTCTCTTCTCTTCTCTTCTCGTCTCCTCAGCTATGACCGTGGTTTTAAAAGGCCCCTGCTGTTTCCGCCGTCCTGACCACATGTAAGCCAAGGGCTATGCCTCGGCATCGTCCATGGCAATGATCAGAATGCTTAAAAATTCAGACAGAACGATGCAGATGCAACGGAGAAAACAGAAAATCAAGCGTTCCCTTTGGAGGGCAGAGGATGAAAGCTCTGCCTTTAACAAGAGACAGAACCTCCTCTGTTGGGCTTCCAGCACAATAGGTGAGCCGAACGGGCAGAGAGAAATGAGGAGAGGGGAGAAAGATGGGTGCCGAAAAGAAAAAAAAGAGACATAAACAACAAGAAAGGAGCAGAGGTTGCATAGCTTTTTAACTACACAGCAAGATCAAAAACATACCAACATTAGATGTTTCTGAAAATGAAAGCCCTGACAGGTGTCTCGTTAGGTTCCAAGGGAGACAACAAAGCCGGGCTGTGACGACATTATGAAATTATAGAGGGAGAGAAAGAAAGAAACCTGAACATTGGAGAGGTGTAGCTGGAACTCAACTGTTGCCTGGAGTTTCCTGCACCTCTCTCTCTGATGCATCAAAGGCATCACTGAAAGCAAAGCAGCCGCCGAAGAGACTAAAGAGTGTTGTAGCGGGGCAGCTGGGGAAATTATCTTTTCCCCGTGCAACATGGGACGACAAAAAAATAATTATATATTTTGGTTCTTTTTAATTAATTGCAATTAGGACTCATTAGATTAATTAGTTTTAAGAATAAATCATTTAGAAATCATACAAATAAGCAAAAAAACAAACAAAACCAAAATAAACGAGTAAGAGCGGCGCCGTAATGAGCCAACATTCAGAACTCAGTCTGATTATGTGGACCGGGTTCATGGACACTGTGCCCATGTGCTCAAGAATCCAATGAGGTAATCAAACAAATCTCTGAATTTGAAGCGTCCACACAGTACATTATCCATAATCACACACAATTATAACTAATAGTACATAATTATTTAAAAACTGGAGCACATTTGCTTCCATCAGCTTGACTATTTCCTGCAGGTCATGGACGACAATTTTGGGCATGTGGAGCACCTGCTTGATTTCAACGGGCCTCTTTCTAAGCATTTTGACTTGTAGGAAGAGCAGAGTTACAACGAAGAAGATTAGTGATGACCCTGATCTCTTAAAGTAAAAATAAATAAATAAATAAAGCAGCCAAAATGAAATCTGGACGACTTTTTGTAACTGATGGAGCCATGAATCCTGCTTCTATCAGTTCATGGGTTCTGCAATGTGACAGTAAGCCCAGTTAAACAAGAGAGTCCACCTGAATGACTCAAAAAGAACAAAATTAGGGTTTTAAATGTAAACATGTCCGACTGCCTTATGGGCTCACCATAGTCAACTAAAAACCCGACTCAGCAAGAGCGTTATGCACTATGGTTTCAATATTTTTTTTCTCAATCAAAGGAGCTTATAAGCAATGCAAATTCAGGACCAGACACTGTTTGAATGCCCAATGTCAGATTATAGTTTAAATGAAAAGAGAGTGAGCAGTCTGATGCAAAGCCAGACGTACTTCATACTGTTTAAAGACGAGCATGTGGAGCCGCAGACGGGAAATTATCAACAACAACCAAACCTAAAGAAAACTGTAGTTTATGAATGTATGATGAAAAGACTGTTGGGTTAGTGGTTGAGCACAAATATGGACAAGTATTCCAAACCTTTACCTTTAACTGATAAAGCTTTTTTTACGAGTGGTGAAATACAGTCGTGACTCGATAATCCGACGCTTAATGTAAAACCTTCTTTAATGTTGGACTGTCAAGACGGAGGTCCAGATACAAGGAGGGCTTGATGCTGGAAGGCTCATTTGTTGTTAATATTTATTGTCCACAGTTGTTATAATAACTAGTGTATTGTTAGAACACTACTCAGTGCTGGATTTCACGCCTAATTAATTGCGATTGTGCATGTTCCGGGCACTTCCACTACGGGGGAATGCTCCGACAGGGTGGAAGTGGCTGGAATGCACACACAGTACTTGGCTGCTGATGCCAGTTTAGTTAGCGCTCACACTTCTGTTTCCACCATTGCTGGTGGCGCGGGAGTGGCAGATACGCTCCATCGCTACCATCCATGTTTACTTCCATAAACACTGAGCACGCTCGCTGCGTGTGACGTCGTTGTGTCCTCTTCTGCGCATGCGGGACACTTTTGGCTCGTATGAAGTTCACACAGCAGATCACATACAAGTCGCATTTAATTGGAAATGTGAAGGAACTCGCAACAAAAATCGTATTTCACAAAAAAACTGAATTGAGCATTAAGTCCTGCAGTGTGAACGTAGCCAATCTGTGGGATTGTTCAGTCAGATAATACGCCGTTATCCTGATTGGTGACATCAAATTTCATGTCGGAGTCGTAATCCAAGGCTGTCGGTATGTTAAGGCTGTTTTTTATGGATTCCATTCGTTTTTCCTAAAAACCAGTCGGATAGCAAAGTTTTCAGATTGTTAAGGGTCGGATTATCGAGTCGAGACTGTATCTTCAACTTCACAACAATAATCCAGCAGATAACTAACTGGACAAAAGACACCTCAGGACGACTTCATGAAAAAAAGCCTTTGGTAGCACAGAACATGACTACAGTCTTAGTTCTGGCTGTTAGTTCACATTACAGCAGCGGCTCTTTCGCCGCATTTCCTCCTAATGACATTTCCATATCGCCACAGCTGCATGCATATTCACATGAAACTATGCGGGCAAATGAAGGCTCCTTCTCCTCCGTCTCTGCTGCCCTGGAACTGTGTGATATTTGCCCTTTTCCAGTCCCTGCCAGGCTCAGTCAAGTTTAGACACACACTCCGATGCACACATGCAGAACCATGTCGAGGATCTGACTCTTGAATCTCACCCAAAGTCTTCAAAGTCTGTGTGTGTGTGTGTGTGTGTGTGTGTGTGTGTGTGTGTGTGTGTGTGTGCATGTGTGTGTGGCTCAACACTGAGGAACTGCCCAGGGGGAAAGGAGCACATGAACAGCAAAAAGGGTCCAACTCAATAATGCAAACACCGGCTCATTAATGAACATTATACATAAATGAAGAACGTCTGAACACTTGTGGCAGTGATATAATAAAAGCTCTTCCATTTTTAGCCACGCAATCTTTATCTCATCAAATCAGTTATTTGCCTAATTTAATTCGACCAAAATCTCACCGAATGATCTCGTCGGTTAATTAGGCTAATTGGGGGAAGTGTTGTTTTTAGTATAAATTAATGACAAAGAGTTAACAGATAGGTGTGTTTCTACTATTGAACGTACAGTTCAGTCGCTGCTTTCTGCAGGAGAACAGCGAAACTTCAATCCGATAAATTGACTTCGCAGGTAAAAGTCAGAGTTTTGTCAGATGTTGATTTTGTGTCGGGGGTTTTACGGCAACTCGTGCCTTCTGTTCCGCATTAAATGTCAAACAGATTTCTCCATAATTTTTCAGTGTGTAACCTATTTATGAACGAGTTTGAACGTACGAGAAACGGAGCTCTCTTCAAGGTGCTTGAATTTCAAATTGGAAACAGAATACACAGAAACTTACAAAAAAAAAAGTCACTCACCATGTTGTTGGAGGATATTAAAGGTCAAAGCTTTAGAGATACGTTTCATGTTGTATCTGTGTTGCAATCCAAACCTTTTAGCCTTTGAATAAATGTCACTTACAGTCTACACATTAGGATGGGTGAGATGTGGTTTGGGAAACCCCAGCGATCAACACTGGATGAGCTTGTTTGGCCTTTCAGTTTGTGTAAACTGCTGGGAGATGAAATCACACAGCTCATCTCATTAACAGAATCTTAACATGTTTGGTTATTAAAAGCCAGATTCGGGGTTTTTTCAACATCTCACGACTAGTTAAATATTAATTAAAGATGTTGGAAACTCTGTAATGTAAGTTCCAGCTCAACAGTTGTCAGAGCGCGGCACCGTGTTTCTGCTCCTGTTCAGCTCCTCGGAATTGAATCATTGATTGCTGCTTTCATTTAGTCGCCTTTCTTCTTCTTCTTCTTCTGCTGTGTGTTCATCTTTTCTGAGTTTGCTTCAGATTACGGGAGACACAGACAGGACACAGGCGAAAGCTATTTGAAAGCAGCACACAGTTTACCCAGAACAAGACACAAAACAAACCGGGCTGGTAAATACGTTTTAGTTCAAGACACAGCATGGAGGCTCCATTGTTGGAAATCTGTTTCTATTGAACTCAGCAACTGTGAGTTTTTCCCAAATGCACTGTGGTTTGAGAGTGATACTGATTTGGTACCAACACACACACATTCCAGGGAAACCGGTTTTGATCATCCTCCATTTCTGTCCAGACATCGGGTTTTATCTGCTTTTGTTTTTGTGATGATTTTTTTTTTTTTGGCGTTGACTTACAGCAGTCCTGCGGGCTTCGGTTGTTGCGGACCAGAACCTTTTGGTTGGCGGCGCGGAACAGCCGGGTCCAGTTGACGGTGTTGTAGTAGCAGAGCTGGCTGTTCTCCGCAATGTGGACGTTTCCGGCGCTGATCTCTCGCAGAGACTGGAGCTGCAGCGACGAGATGCCCTGCTGCTTCAGCACCAGCAGCGAGATCCCACTGAGAGGGAAGAATGGGTGGAGGTGAGAGGAAGACGGGGCCAGACAGGAAGGGACGGAAGGTGAGAGGAGCAGGAGGAGGAGGAGGAGAGAGGAGGTGGGAAGGGGGAAGGGAGGGAGGCAGGGAAGAAGATGGATTCATTTCACAGGTTTTGTGGTACGGGTCAGTTCGCCTGCAAAAATCGTTCTTTTGTCGAGTTGTCACACGGTTTGTTCAGGGTGTTTTTTTTTTGTTTCAAATATTTTTATTGAATCTTTCACACGTTATCTATCAAGCACTTTTCCTTCAGCTTTGTTTTCTGTTTTCTTTTTTAATTGAACACAAAGGGAAATTAAAACAACAACAACAACAACAACAACAAAAAGTAAATAAATAATGTGGAAAAGAACACCCTCCACCCTCCACCCCAGGAGTGCTACCAGCTGATATCTACCATGCAGGTTGTGTTTCAAGTCAACAAATTTCAACCTTTCAGGTAGGAGATTAAGGGGCGCCAAACCCTTTCAAACTCTCCAAGGTTGTCCTGAAGAATGGATCTTCTTCTTTCTAAGTGCAGGGTGCCTGTCAGCTCCGTTAACCAGAGTTTTACTGGTTCAGGACCTTTTTATAAATATCTCCTGTTTATACATGAACCATCTTTGGAACTACTCTGGAATAGATTGCAGATAAAGACACCGAGCTCACAGTTAAATGGCAAAATATCAGTTTTGACAACTTGTATTAAACGTGCACTTAACAATTCCAGTAAATTTAAAGCACTAATGTAAAAAACTTGAATATGAAGATGGTAGACAGGATGTAAGTCGACATAGTAACACACTTATTGCACGTGGAGTCAGCTTGTACATCGCTCTGGAAAAGTACAACTGTCAGATGATACAAAGGGGATACACTTCTTTGTCTGTAAATGACCTTTAAATAGAAAGTATACAGAAAGAATGTCTTTGTTCTGTTTCCTCTTAAAGCCACTAAAGCAGTTTACAATGAACATACCTCAGGCTACTACTTTTGTCCCTTTATTTTAGTGATGAAGGGGAAAAGCGTGGCAGCATTCTTTAAGCTTGAGGTCTTATGTCATCAACTGAACATCCAGTTTTCTATTTATTTACTTACGATCGCCTGCTGGACTCTTACACCGACAGTGCAGAACTTTTGGTGCCGTCGTTGCCGATGAGAGTAATTAGACAAACACATTCGCTCCTGACCTCTGCCTTAGCATCGATTACTTTCTCTTCTCAGAGAGTAATCTGTCTTCTGAACATTTCTTTTTTTATCTCGAGCATCACAAATTTTTCTAGGTTTTATTCCAGCAAAAGGCTCCACTTCAGTCCAAGCTGATGTTATTTCCATCACTACGTTTGCCCCCATCTTCAGCCCTGACAAGCCTATCACTGCTGGTTGACATAAAAAGTATTGCACCAGTATGGGAATGTCACCACAGATGCCAGATTTAAAACTATGCTGCAAAATGCGGCGAGATTTCCTTTATATGCTTAATCAGCATTGTGTGAACTCGTCTGGTGAGGGCTTTGACGTTGGGGACGTCCGTTTATAAAAGTTTCGCGCTCCAGCTTTAATTTTCTTCACAACAAGGTGACTTCAGCATATATTTTTGTAATCTGTCTTTCTTCTTTTTTGTCTTTTCTTCAGAGCCTAACCCCCAACTTTCCCTTGCACAGTTTTTAAAAAATGACAGGAAGCCAGTGGGGTGTCGAAGCCATCAGATAGACAAGAGAGTATGCAGGATCAAGCACGGGGCAAGGGTGGGTGGCAGCCTGTAATTTGTACTGCAGCCTGCTGTTTCCATCTGCAGGCAGGTGCACACACACACACATGCACAAACACACACACACTTGCACAAACACACACACACTTGCACAAACACACACACACAAACGAGCGGCGTGTCCCTCGGTCCACGCTCTATTGTCGAGCGACACTCACTTTGTTTTCATCTGAATGTTACTACATATGTTTTTTTGGGGGGGAAACTTTCGCAAAAGCCACGAAGATGTAAATGATGAATCACAATCAGCTTGTTGAAAACAGCTGGTTGTTTTTCTTCAAAACAGATAAATCAAAAACATGTTTCAATCACAGCGTTCTGTGCACTAACAACAGCATTTAGACATTTAGAAAAAAAAACAAAACAAGACCCACAGAAGCATTGCCAACTACATAACATTTACTATTAATTTACATAAGAATGAAATATAAAAATATAAAACCCAGGCTGCTGCTGCTGTTAGACAAACACAGCAACGGGGAAGGACACCCTTTCATGTGGCGCAGTTTACTTTCCCTACATGCCACTTCTGTTTTAGTATGTTAATGCAGGAATATGTCAAAAGCTGGGTTTTAATACCAACAGTTGCCTTTAATTTAAAAGTTTATCGTGAGGCAGCAGTGACACAACTGGAGTATAATTATTAGGGATGTCCGATAGTAGCCTTTTATCTGATGTGACGATATTGTCCAATATCAGCCGATATCGACATACGCATGTTACTGCAGCCACACTTGAAGAGTTCATTTGCAAAAACAGATGACTCCATTTTTCTAGATTTTCAGAAAAATTATTGTTTTTGTTGTTTTCTTGAGATAAAATCAATCAAACTGAAGCTGAGTGGATTCGACTCAGTAGAAATGACAAAAACAGAAACAACTAAAGTTTGACTGATATCGTCTCAGGTAGACGATGGAAAAGTGGGTTTTATGAAGGTTTGTGAAGATGGAGTTATCTGTTTTTGCAAATGAACTCTTCACTTGTTTACACGCTTCACGATGCAGTTCAATGTAAATGCCAGTGAAATCCAGGCATTACTTTATTGGTTTTTATTATAGGTAATGGGCTGCAAGGTGGAGCAGTAGTTAGCACCGCTGCCTCGCAGCTAGAAGGTCGCCGGTTCACATCCAGGGTGAGGACACCCAGGATCTGGAGTCTCCATGTTCTCCCCGTGCAGCGTGGGTTCTCTCCAGGTTCTCCAGCTTCCTCTCACAGTCCAAAAACATGTTGAGGTTAATTGGTGATTGTAAATTGTCCGTAGGTGTGAATGTGAGTGTGCTTGGTTGTCTGTCTCTAAGTGTAGCCCTGTGATAGACTGGTTACCTGTCCAGGTGAACCTGCCTTCACCCTGAGTCAGCTGGGATAGACTCCAGCCCCCCACGATCCCAGTGACGATTAAGCGGCGTATACATAATGGATGGATTATAGGTTAAAAAAAATTGACAGATATTACATTTTTATGCCAATATCAGGCCGATATTATCAGACATCCCTTATAATTGTGCTCAGCAGTATTTTAAAAAAAATAATCACAACAAAGCTATTGTGCTACAACATACCTGTACAGTGCTCTTCCACCGATAGTTGCCAGGTTGGAGAAAACACTCAAGTCCGTCATGTTGTCAGGCCACGACTGGATGTTAAGGAAGCCTAAATGGGGGCACAGACACACACAGACACACGGGTTACAATGAGGCACCGGTAATGACAGATGAGGCTCACCTGTCCATCACGTTGTCCATTTCACACGGTGACAAGAATAAAAGGGGCAACTGCTGGCTCTCCAGAATTAGCAGCATTCCAGGAGCACAGCAACCGCAGCACCTGAGTCTCATCGGAGGGCAGCGTGAAAGAAAAGCTCATAGGCTACTCCGAAGAGGAGGGTCGATGCCGGCTATAACAAGTGTAAAATCTGGCATATCAATATTTTTTTGCATTTCCCTTTATCTGCCTCTCCACTGCTGAATCATTTAGAAGATTAAATGAAAAGCTGAGAGGATGGCTGTGGCTCATTTAAGATTTTCAATAATGGATTCAGAAATATGAAATATTCAGCAGAGGAACAGTAGGGGAGCACAATCCCCAAGCCAACACCAGAGGACAAACAAAACAGTTGGTTTGCGGGCGATGGAAAAATCAGGGAAAATTCCACAGTGGGTGGAGGTAAGGGAGGGAGAAGGCAGGGAAGTCTAAGCAAATATGATGACAAGAAAGAAAAAATAAAAAATCAGAAATGACTCTTGCACTAAAAGAAAAACACAGAGGCCACAAGCTGCTGCTGTATTGACTTCTTGACAAAGGGAGAAGGCGAAGGAGGAGGTGGTGGATGGTAATAAAAAGCCTTGTGGGTGTGATGGGCAGTATGGTGCATTCTCCAATCAATGAACAGTATCTGACTCCATTATATTAAACTGTGTGATTTCCTCCCACAGGATGCATAATTTTGTTTATACAGAGAGGGAGGGAGGGCGGAGACAGGTAAGCGGACTTGTGGAGGAAGCGAGCTGCTTCTTGGCTTGTTGACAAGAGAGCAATAACCCCGCTCCCACCCCACCACCAACAGCACCTTTATCAGTTTGTGGACATTGTTTTGTTTGCTTTGTCAATCTCGGCTGAGCGGCGGCGGGGCCCTGAACAAACGCTTATTAGCAGTGTTTGATGAGGAAAGGTGAAAAAATAAAAAATAAAAAAAGCGGTGCAATTGTGAGGAATCACACGCCGGGGCTTATGCAAATGGAAGGGAGCAGAATTTGATACTCGTCCTCACGCCAGAGCAATTTTTTATTTTTTTTAAGGCAGGCTGCAACAGTTACAACCAAACAGGTGGGAAAGAACCAACAAAACTCTGAAATATTATTATAATTTTTTTCCAAATGGAACACAATGTTTCCCTGAGATACGAGGAGATACGAGTAATATGACGGCTTTCATTATGATAAAATAGTATTAGGCATTCATCCCATCAGAAAACATGATGAGAAATTTATACAGAATCCTGAAATACGTCGCCGCAAAATAGTTGTTTGTTAAAAGCTAATTACACTTTTGGCATTTGTCCATCTTGTATCTCACGCTGTGCAGTTTATGGCGCTGCGACGGCCTCACAGCCCAGAGGCAGCGGTGGTAAAGAATCGTTAGCATTGTACTTGTCAACGCTAATTGTCTTAATGACAAAAACTGCAGCGCTGAGGCACCTCACAGCGCTACTATAGTGCTATTTCACAGGGACCAGAGTGCTCCCTAATCAAGATAACAGCTCTCTGCACACTTTCCTATGCAGTCATGGGCTAACGGCGTGCACATGCTGGATCTGTTCAAGGCAGGTACGAAGCCTCAGACAGTAACAGAAAGAAAGGTGAAAAGAAAAATAGATATGTAAGGCTACACATCACATGACTCCATGAGGAATTCTGAACACGGGCTTGCCGTTGCCTAACAGCTAGAAGATTCCCAGTTTGCATCCCGGTTAGGATCTTTCTGTGTGGAGTTTGCATGTTCTCCCCGTGCAGCGTGGGTTCTCTCCGGGTTCTCCGGCTTCCTCCCTCCAAAAACATGTTGAGGTTAATTCCAAATCGCCTGCAGGTGTGAACGTGAGTGTTTGTCTCCAAGTGTGGCCCTGTGATAGACTAGTGACCTGTCCAGGAGGTCCCCTGCCTTCACCCTGAGTCCGCTGGGATAGACTCCAGCCCCCCGAGACCCAAATGAGGACTAAGTGGTGTATAGATACTGGATGGATGTCTGAACACAGCCAAGCAACTGCAGGCCCTAATGCAACTCTGCTATTCCAGTTCAGCCAGCGGTGGTGGACTGTACTGCTTACACGAAGCTCAGTGTGCCAGGGCAGCAACACGCTGGTTCCTACTGCTGATGTTCCTGATTCTAAATGCCAGCCCCCTCTATCTGTGCACATCCCTGTAGCTTTTGTGCTAACTGCTGTTTTGAACCTGAAACTGTGCCAAATGCCATCAAGGCTTTACGAGGAGACAGCACCCTGGAATCGGGGTGCACGAGATCCGGGGGGCATCCGTTTTGGTCACTCTGAGTGATATCTGTAATGTTGACCCCGGTATACCAAGCGCTACTTAAGTGACTTTCCCAGGGCAGCAAGTAAATGGGTCAGAGTGTGGCCAGAGGGAGCCTCCTCAGCTTTACGAGATTGCTTTGAACACACAGATTGGAACATCATCACATTGACGTGGAGGAGTGTGCTGAAGTGGCAGCATCGCCGAATGCGCCGAAGATGTCACCGTCTTCAAGCCCATCACGCACACGCCAACGAGGAGCTGTGCATTACAGACGCACGATGCAGCCGTCTGATCAGGAGACAAGGAAGCCCTCCGGTCAGATCAAACTTTTCCTATTGCATTGAGAGGAGGGAGGAGATGAAAGAGCCGGCTAGTTGGTAGACGATAGCTTGCATCTCGGTCCAGACAACACAAAAGAAATGATGGACTTCAGAAGGAGGCAGACTGAGCATGAGTTTATTAAAGCAAAAACTTTCACATGATCCTGCAACACCACCAGCACAGTTAGAAGAATCTGTATGAAAGGAAACAAGTATTCTAACTAGCAATGTGTGCTTGTTGTAGCTGCACTACATGAGGTCATAGGTCACCTGCAGTTCAGGTAAGCATGGGAGGAAGTGAAGCAAATCTGACTTAGTAAAGGAGGACGGTGCTCAATGCAGTGACGCCTATGAGTGTGGAGGACAGTGAGGGAGATACTAAAAGGCCAGCAAAGAGTATATAACGAACTGCAAAGAATTACAGTTACATCTCACTACATCACTAAAATGTCTGTGTATGAGGATATTCTGGACAAATGCTAGAGCACTGTAACAGGCATGACTGTGTGAGTTTTAAGTTCTTGATCAGCAGCCACATGCTGGTTAAAGACATGGCGGTGAAGCAGAACGCGGAGTGATAAGTGGGTGTTAACAGGAGGACGACTCGGTAGAGCCACAGCAACACGTTAACAACTTTTCAAAAGACACTTTTAGATCCTCCTGCAGACTGTAACAACAGCAGCACACACACAGGTTTATACCGAACACATGCATCAGTGGTGCTGCTATTTAAAGACATGGTTTCACCAATCCACTGCTGCAGGTTGACATGCACACTAACCAGGAGGAGTTTCATGGGGACCCGGTGTGTTTCGAGGGAAAGGAAGTTTGCTTTCTTTTACCTTTTTTGGTTGTGTTCAGTGACAAACAAAATATATTTGTCACTCATTTCAAAATGTCCTCAGTAGGAAAGTTTCAGAATTAATGTTTTTGCAAGAATTGAAAATAAATAAATAAAAAGCCTAACTGGTAAAATGAATAAATACATTTGAAGGAGGTGCTAAAGCATTGCAGAAAATCATACATGTAGCACCTGTACATCTAATGTATGAACGCTAGTAACACTTGTTAAAAGGTAATCTAAGGCTAATTAGTACCGATGAAGGGAAAAAAACTGGCTTTGTTTTTTACCTTTCAGAGCCTTTGCCTTCTTCTCACCCCTGCCAACGAGCGATTTCGTGCAGGAAAAGCAAAGTGAAAAGATCACCCAGCAGTGGCTCATGTTGTGCCGAGAGCCACATCAGCAGCACACCAATGCACACAGCAAATTATACCGTGGAGCCACTTAGAGAAGAAGGCCATGAGCTTACAAGCAAAGGTTAAGAGTGCTTAAGTTGTGGTGATTACATTCTAAGTCGCAACACTGAAGGAACCCACTTATGCTAAATTGTGTGAGCTGATCGCCCACTCTTTGGGTGAAACCTGACCCGGTGGAATGTCTTTAAAGGTCCTGGAATAAAGAAAGCAGAAGTCCCTCTGAGACAGAACGAAGGAGCGGGAGTGGAGAGGGGGGGAAAGACGGGAGTGCTGGTGTGGACGACGGGAGCTGTCCTCCTACACAGCTCATTTGAAAGCTGGAGCGATGCTCGCTGTGACCTTGGGGTCAGAGAGGCAGGTTGGCTGCTTCTGTCAAAAGTCACGTTCTCTTGACAGCTCGGAGAGATGACAAGCTGAGCTGACACACATGTCTGACTACATGGCCACTGGTTTATGCCCCATCACCTGCTCTCAAACTGCCATAGAAGAAGAGCGAAAAGCAAAAAAAAAAAAAAATCCTCTCTCAAGTTTAGGGATTTAGTCTCAGGCAGTTTAAGTGAGCGCACATTTCTATTCTACCTGTGTATTCAAATTTTCATCAGCTACACAAAAATGCTTTAAAATGCGTTCGGGGACAGACGCACACGGGGCCACGACTGTAAACTTTGCATTTTATATATTTTGAGCTCTCATTGTGAAATGAATGTAATTTAGTCAGACAGCAGCTAATTATGCAGTAATGGCTGTTTACTAATAACACTCTGTCAGTGGATGAGAGTTTAAAACCTGTCCTGCTTTGCCCCTTTTGCACATTCAGCTGTTCTGACCATGCTCACTTAAGGCTTTCTAACCCTTTGTAAGAATCCACAGTTTGTTTTGCCTCCTTGTTGCTTCACATCTGATTTGATTGGATGTACACATCATCTATAGTTGACACCTGTGGTCAGTCACTTATTTCCTCTCATGGACAATATGAACTTATGACTTATGTATTATATATTTTATACATGAGCCATAAGTTGGTTCGCTTCCAACCCTGAGCTACTCTGTTTGCTGCTGAACTCGACAAACCGACTGCGTGCCCTGAATCCCTTTCCGATAATGCAGACAAATGTGGTGGCGCCACAAAAGCATGAGCTGCATAATGAGCGAGTAGGAAAACTACTACTACTGCCCTACTGTCCCGCCACTTAATTTGTGTGCTTTTATCACCTCATATAGTCCATTTAAAGAATTATTACCATCGGTTATGATAGTATTTGCATGCCGTCGGTTGCAGAGGGAGTAAAAGAGAAAAACAAAAGTTAAAGATTTCAACGTGAGAAATTGTTTTTTCTTATTATGCAATTGATGCAATCCGAAGGCAAAAGGGGGGCTACTATTTTACAAGGCCTGTGTTTCCCCCCGTCATAACTAACTGTAATATTCTCTCATTTCAGGGGGGGATGTGACATCAGAGATGCACGTTTATTTTTTTATTTTTTTCCTGATGCCATTGTCAAATGTCTGGGCTGGAGAGATGACAGTACACATGCAGCTCAAAAGTGGCGGTGGCATAGGGGAGCTGGAGGATTAACGATGCGCACCACATGTTTTGGATCTTTTCTTCATGGTGCGTGAAGGGAGAGCTGGGACTGTGGGACTCAAGGCTAGGGACTCCCCGAGGGAGAAGCAGCAGCAGAGAGAGAGAAAGAGGAGATTGAAAGACTCATATGATATTCATCTTATGCTGCGATGTCTGTCCTTGGTGTGGACAGTCTCAAGGGGACGGGGTGAGGCAGTCACACACACAGACACACACAGGCAGCATGTATGTGGATGGTATATATGGCATAAAAGCTCAAAAGAGGAGATTAATTTGTATTTATTAATTGTTGTGCACGTGCAGGAAGCGACACACTCACCTGTGATTTCCCGAACAGTGCGGAACACGTTGAGTTTTTCTGGATCCAAAGCTTCAATGTTGTGATAGACGTCCCTGTGAATGATAATAAGAGATCAGACTGAAACAAACAAAAAAAGAAGCATCTCCCTTTTGTACTGTGCAGGTAAGACGGGGTTTTCTTAACCACAGCAAAAAAAAACACTATGCCTTCTTTATGTAGTTTGTTTTTTCTTGTGGAAAAATATTTAAAAACTTGTCTGTGAATATTTGCCTGCATGGATACAGTTCTATATATCCATCTAGAAATAGCACATGCATGTTAGCGTGGTCTTCTGCAGCTACTCACTGGAGTCTTACGCACACTTAGATCACTTTTCTTAGAGCAATTTGCATATACATACCACATAACTGCCCTCTTCTTAATATCCAGGCACTCTGAGCCCGTCTCACTTGCCTTACCGACACTTAATTCATTCAACAAATTAACACCTTGCTTCAACGCACTTATCTTGAGCAATTTACATTAATAGTAGAACAAAAAAAACAGGACAGCCAATATTTGAGTCGTTGGACGCAAAGAAATTCATGCTGAATGCAAGTGCCAGGAGTGAAAGTACAGAGTTATATTTACTTCTGTCACAATAACAAAGCTTCAGTCAGTAATTGTAATTATATCTAAGCTTTTCTTTTTTTCACTAGAAGTCTGTTGCTTTGCTGCACTTACAATTTGCAGTTGTCACAGAGTTATTTAAAAGAAAAAGTCAACAGACAGAATATAGAACAATACAGGAGAAGGAAGCAGAAGAGAGGATTTGCTGCAGCAGAGAAGACACTGATGGTTTGTCTGCTCTGCATCTCCAGAGGTGACACTCTCAGCTAACACCTGTAGAACATACACGCTCTAAATGTGTCCACTTTGAATGTACATGTGGCTGCACGTGAGTATATAAACGATGTTAAAAACTGTGTAGGTAAATGTAGATGGCACTGTTATTGTAGTCGTGATTATCTTTAACTAAGTCGAGGAAAAACAGTCGCATCAGCCTTAATTAATCACTGATTTAATGCATCACTCTCCAGTTATGCTAAGTGACCCAAATTACACACACCTGCGATGTTGCGTGACCGAACGCTACACACTAAGTCTGACTTAAAATGGGCACAGCAGAACTTTAAGCCGTATACTTCTGGAAGTGTTTTCCTTCATTGTGGTGTGCACGACCCGTGTGCTGTTTTTGACAACCGGCTGAGTGTAGTGGGATAGAAAAGTAAAATGTCTGAGCATAGAAACTGAGCCAACTGCACATTCAGGAAGTCTCCACAGACTCAAGGATTGACATCCAGAGAGGTGAGTAAAACAAACAACTCGTTGATTGTTGTATCTCACTGTTCAGAGAAATGGCCTGGAAATGTAGTGTTTTGTCGACCTGCCATCGTAGTGTTGTCTTTCGTACAGGTGACTTGTACAACGGCTGAACTGAGGAAGGCGGTTACAGCGCCTCTATGGGAAGTATTCACCCCTGTTGGAAGCTTTGTGGTCAATCTATCAATCAGTGTTTGAATTTATAAAAACGACTCTCATGTCAAAGTGAAAAAAGATTTCTGCAATGTAAAGCAAAATATATCAAAACATAACATATTCAAATGCACAAGTCCCTGTTTAAAGCGGCTCATCTAATTCAATACAGGTGCAGCCATTTGTTGCTTGAAGTCACATGATTGGTGAAATCATCTGAGCAAGTCCATGAAAAGGTTCTTGAAAAAGGTTATTTAAAAGCAGAAGTCAGGGGATGGACTGAATGTATCTCTTGAGGTCCAATGAAGTCCTTCATTAGTAAATGGAAATAAAATGGTCCATGCATATTCTGCCAGTCTCCAAACCTGCATGACTGTGCAAGAAAGAGACTTGTGAGGGAGACCACCAAGACATCTAGGACTCCTCTGAGGAAGTTAGAGGCTTCAGCAGCTGAGATGGGAGAGACTGTCCATACAACAAGTGTTGCTTATTCTTTGCCAGTCGTTGCTTTACGGCTTTATGGACTCCAAAACTGAGTTTCTTGGCCATAACACTAGGCGTTATATTGTCACCACTAACACACCATCAACACGATGAAGCATGGCGGTGGCATCATCATCATGGTGGGACGCTTCTCAGCAGCAGACGCTGGAAGGTTTGTAAAAATAAAGAGCAAAATCTTTGCAGTAACGTATGGGGAAATCCTGGAGGACTGATGCAGTCTGTAAAAGAAACACGACTTGGGAGAAGATTTGTTTTCCTGCAGGAGAACGACTGAAAACTTAAGGCCGAAGCTACACAGAAATACTTTAAACATAAAAAGGTGGATGTTCTGGAGTGGCCGAGTCAGAACCCAGACCTCGATCCAACTGAGAATTGGTGGCTGACCTAAAGAAAAGGATGTTTGCTTATGATCCCAGTCAGTATCTGACAGAGTTTGAGTTGCAGTGGACAGATGTGCAAGGCTGACTGAGACCTGTTCACACCGGCTCAGTGTTGTAACTGTAGCCAAAAGTGTGTTTACTGAATACTGACTTGAGGGGATGAATACTAATAAAGTCACTTATTTTACATTTTTCACTATTAATGAATTGACTTCCTATAAATCAGTTTTCACTTTGACATTAGAGAGTCTTTTCTCTAAATTCTTGTCAGAAAATGGCAAAACATATTGACCATGACAAAGCAATTAAAGGATAAAAATTCCAAGGTAGGTGAACACTATACACACACACCGTATATATTTAGTCAATTATATACAAAGGCTGCAAAGTACTTATCCACAGAGAAGCAATTTAGTGTTGTTCTGAACATAAGGGCACAGTGTGGCTCACCCAGAACAGGGCAGTGATGTTGTGAAAGAACAAACAAGACATTTTCATGCACTATATTATAAAAACAAAAGTTATTCTTAACTTTTTCAGCTTCATCGTACGGTATTATCATCATGTTCTCATTTCTCCTAACCCTTTGAAAAATGTTTAGTCAGAATACATGTGAGCAGCTCTACTTTTCACTCTTATCTATTTCACCCGATCATTCGTCGCTCTGATAGGCTGAACGTTCTCAGTTCTCACCCCTTGATTCCGGTGATGAGGAACACTAGGTTGCCATTGATTTTGGTGCAGTTGACAAACTTGTCAATGTTGCTGGAGTCGACCGTCTGAGCTGTCTGCAGGCTGGCTGTGCCGATTCCATCGCAGGCTGGACAACACACAGTAAAACAGTCGATTGCATTAATTTGATTAAATGTCTTCATGTTGGCCACATGTAAAAACAATGGCAGAAGGTAATATAATACATTTTAATCCAGACAGATCCAAATAGTCCTAAAATGGGTGGTTTGAGGTATTAATGGTCTTCTCAGCTTACTCAATATTAACAAATAACATCATAATTATTTGTGCTATAACTTTCTAAATTATAACAATATTTAAATACTGATTAATTATTATTCATGTAGTTCGTACATTTTCAAACATCTGTTTACCTTTCGGGCAGATGTCGGTACAAGGGATGCACATCTTGATGCGGTTCTCCTCCACCTCCATCTTGTTACTAGGACACGCTCTCACACAGGAGCTATGGTCCACCACAAAGTTATCTGAAGAGCAATTCATTGTAAATGTCAAACACAGATGGCTGCTGCTGTTTGTCACACAGGAACATACAGCACAATAAGTGGCAGTAGAGTGTCGGCAATCACATCGAAAAGAAAGTGCTGAAAGTCACTTTGGGTAACTTTGCCTGATCGATGCTTCCATGACTACAAATGAACTGCATTAGAGGTCACGTAATGAGTTATTTATGTTGTACACACATAGCATAACATGAACTTATCAGAGAAAAAAAATAAATATTTAAATAAGAATAATTACTCCGACCAAGTAGGAGGTCATGAAAAAACACCGACTAACGTTACTAGAAACACAACGTGTTCATTTATTTGCAATAAAATATAAAAACGTCTCTTATGAACCATACATTATACATTATATCGAGTACTTTTTCTACAGTTCTGTCTTAATTTATGCAGATGTTGCTCAATTGATTTGACTTTCTGGTAGCTCAACCCGCGCATAATCGTAGCAGTCAATAGGCTCTGGTAGGTCACGAGGCTAACAAACAGACTAACGAATCAGAGGAATAAATGAAACTAAATAAGGAAGAATTACCCACTGAGCTAACGGCGTAAGAATTAAACTGACGCTTCAGCATGCCACATATGAACCACAAAAAGAAGTGGCACCAGGGGATTTACTTTGATCACAAATGGGTTTTTTTTTTAACAGTGCATCTTAAACCTATCTAAAAGTATCCCTGCCTTCCAGCACACATCCTCACATCCCCCCCTGCTGCTTGGCCTTTTCACTGCTGTAGTGAACAGTGTGGGGCGTCCACAATTAGCCGTGGGTGTGGTGAGCGGTTAGCGGTAGCTGCCGCAGAACAATCAGGTAATATTAGGATGAACGAAGCAAGAAGAGGAGATACTGCGTCGATGCAGGTTAAATCCCCGGCTTCCTGATTTCGTCTGCTCCCTTTGCCAACACCAGATACCACAACCTCAGGCTGGATGCAAGCTGTGTCGAGGCAGACGGCTTGCTGAGATGAAAGAGTATTTCAGGTCCTGACCAGGGATACAACATTAAGATATATATTAGGAAATAAATAAAAATTGGCTCTATTAAGGGATTTGTTTGCTGCCTGCTTGACTGAGGGATTTACCCGACATGCTCGCTCTTGTTCGGGGTTTCACGGCAAGATATCCTCACAGACCAGAGTATCTAAATGTGTGTCACAATCAGAAGGAGGTTCAACTGAATCTGATTTGTTTGCATGTCAGTAAATAATCCACATAACTGAGGATCAGATTCACGGAAACGTTACGACCACTGATGGATAAATCTCTCACAGCTCTGTAGATTTATGGTGATTCTCAATAAGGTAAGTTGCATGCAGGAAGTTTGCATAAGTGAGGAAAAGCTATAGTTGCTAAGTGTGTGGACCCGCTGAGTGGTTCTGGGACAGTTTGAGCTTTTCTTGTACCGCTGCTTTAAAGAAAAGTTATGCTAATTTAATTCATTAACTGTACGCTGAAGGTGTACAATGTGTGAACTGGGTTTTTTCTTTTTTGTACTCTGCTCATGTCGTCCCTCCCTCGTGGGGGTATGCCTCCTATTAGGCATTAGGGGTTAGAGCTATTCCTTGGTGCTCCATAGAACATGTTCTTCTGGCTATTGGAGAACAAATTGGCCAAACAGGTAGATATCAGCTCAGGAGTGGAATTGTACGTCTACCCAGAGGAAACCCACCCACCCTCCACTTCACTTCTGTCCAGTCACTGCTGTGTAGAGAAAATTAAACCCAACAGTCACTATATGTGGTGACAGAAGGCAATGTAAAGGCAGCCAGGTTTGATTTAAATTGAACCGGTTAATAGTTACCATGCAGCAACAGCTCTTCTAGTACACCGCCAACATTACCCTTACTGGCAACCAGTCACTTAATTAATGAGAAGGCTGACTGTTTTTCTGATTCTGGAGTCGATGAAAATTAGGAAAATACCACTTTGAATCATTAACTTGAAAGTGGGAGGTGGGAAAAACACAATTTAGAACATAGCGGCAATAAACCAAGTCTACATTAGCTACTGAGAGAAACTGTCTGAGGAGTTAGACGGAGATGTTTAGTTGAGAGAAGACAGGATCATCAATGGGACTGAGAACGATAACTTTAAGGAGCTTAACAAGGTCTTCATTAGAACTCAAATCTCTTCTATCCGAGATGCAGATGCTCAAACTTTGTTCTGTTTTTAAACTCAAGTAAATATTGGAGAGTCCAACCTGATGACACACCTCAAGCTTCCTGGCAGAGCCTCAGTGACTAACTCTCACCTTCCAGTCTAACATCTCACTACTCAGTGGAGAGACAACCTGTGTTTACGCTGTAACGGAGGGACTGCCTAAGCCGGGTGAGTCACAGGAAGCCTCTGTGGAGTTATCCCTCTCCTTTGAGGAGTTGTCTGCAGCTGTCCAGCAGCTCAGCTGTGGCCACACTTCAGGAATTGAAGGACCTCCTGCAGAGTTCTGAGCTAGAAAGCAACTTGTATGGAGTGTTTAAAGATTGTGTAGACTCGGGGACAAAGCCACTGAGCTTTACTTCTCACATTACTTCAGAAAAACAAAGAGATCTGTGACAACTTAAACATGGAAGACTAGTTTCACTTTTTTGTACAACTGCTAAATGTCTTTCAAATAGATTCTAGTAGTTTAATCGTAGCCACTGAACTTGGTTGACGTTCCACCTCTCATCCAAGAGGCTTCATCAGTTCTGACTGACTAGTTGGGAGTTCCAGATATCCTTAAGGATCCATTAACGCCTGAGTTTTGGTTTCGATTGGGGGTTTGAGTCGTTAGTGCTCCTCCTGCCACATAGGGTTCGTTAGGGTCTTTAGTGGCTGGGTGTGGATGAGGTTTCATCTTCCTGGGGAGAGTTCTAAAGACTTTAAGTCCAGTTGCTACGATTAATCTATGAGAATAACCATGACCTAGACGACTGAGAATCTTCACAGACATCTTTCAGATAGACTCATGGATTGTATGGCTACTGTTCCATCGTGTGTTCCTGAACAAACAATCATGCACAACTTGTTTTGGATTCACGTCATAATAAAATTCTCAAATTTTAAAAAGATGGATGTGGGATTTTTGCAATAGATAGAAAAATATCCGATAGCGTTGATTAGCTTTATTTGTTTCGAACACTTGAAGCGTTTTAGTTTGAAAAAAGTTAATTTCACCGATTTAACTGTTGTACCCAGAAGTCCCAGTTTTATTCTAGAAGTGAGGGCGACTTAGCAGACCAGTGCCTGTACAGCGAGACATCAGGTTGCTCAATGTGTTCAGCTACAGTCGTCCTATATGGGGAGGCGTTCGCTGCCTCAGTGCCTCGATGTTCTGGTGCCACTTCACTGTGTCTGAACCTCCACATACACTTGTTAAGGAAAGAGACAAGTCAGCTTCTTCTCAGGAGGATATCACTGGAACACATCTACCATCCTGACTACACACATTAGTGCAGCTAAATCCGAGAGCAGGAAGTCACCGAGTGTTTTGCCAAACTGGGAAGACCTCACAGTAAAGCTCAGCTGTCCCAGACTGGCTCCTCTAGTCACAATACTGAGGCAGCGGTTAGGTAGATGTGGACAGATGTTAGATGACAGATGTTTTAGTCCAAGACGAATATTTTGTTTAAAGCAACGGTGTCTGGAAATGTTAAATTTCTGTTCCTGGGTCTGGTGGCTGCTCCTCTCAGATTACAGTGTATGTGTTGTAAAATAATTGCAAATTTAAATTGATTTGTCTGTTTTTGGAGAGATGGAAATATCCTGAGAACTGGAGCTAATGAGTCACAAATGTTTCTAAAAATACATCCAGTGGCAGACTTTATCAGTAGTGGGGTTGTTAACGTGAACGGCAGTTTGGTGTTTGTGGTTTAATTGTAAATGAAAAGCGAGAGCCCACGTTAATACGATGCATCCTCTCACCAATTACTTTAAACGTCTAAATCGACACTTAACCCAACAACAACCTTACCACCAGGTCTTAACGTTTAAACACATCTTGGTAAAAGTAAAAAATGTCATCAATTTGAAAAGAAAATGTCCACATTCTTAAAGTTAAAACCTCGTAACGGTCCTCATAAAGATACCGCACACAGGACTCACAAACATTGAGGTTATCTTGGGAAAACATACAACAAGCTGCATGAGTATTCGCATTATTTGCCCTGAAAAATGATCTACCAGCAGTAATGAGAAGGTTATGAGAGGCTTAAGGAGTAAATGCAATCCAAGCTCTCCCACAATGTAATTGCTGCTGTTGTTCATGGCGATGCATTGATTTGTATGTGAAGGCAAAACAGTAAGAAGTGTTTGCATTTATCTGCCAGGGCCTGATGGAAATGAGGCATCTAAAAAAAAAACCCAGTAGTGCCCTCGCTGGTGTCCATGCGCTCTGCATGCACGTGTGTCCATGACAATCAGTATGCATGCACAGCCATACTTGGAGTATTATTCTAGCATTATGCAAATGGGAATAGAAAGGCTTATTCTGACAGATGTGCATTAAATAAGCAGTTTCGACAGTTGTATCGCTGTAGTTTTTTTCTTTCCATAGGATGCTTCATGTAACAGCTAATAAGCTTTGATCTAATCCTCAGAGACAGCAGTGGTGGATGGGATGGACTGTCTTTCCTGAATTGATTATTAGTGGATTGTTATATGTCTGTTTGCTAGTGGGGGAAAACAAGTTAGCTTTAGCATGAAAGGTTGCCATATAACTAACAGTTAATGAAGGCAGAATTGTTTTGCATTAACCATTTGTGTTTAATAATACAAACGCACATCATCTATCACCGAACTGCGACATGTGTTGACTTGTGAGAGATTTTTTTTGTGTGAAAGTGAAAAACGTCATGGTAAAAAATTCAACTTGGTTCATGTTTTTCTGCTCCAATGTACATGTTTAGGTACATCAGTGTTCGAACAAGGTGTGAATGTTTATCTGTCTTTTAGTACTTGTCTGTGTCATAACTTAATGACATCCAACATCACTGATTTTGTTGCTGTTGTTTCCTATTTTAAGTTATTTTTTTGGCCTTTGTGCCTTTATTGGATAGTGCAGTGAGAGAGAGAGACAGGAAAATGGGGGAGGACGTGTGGGAGAGGGCCCTGAGCGGGATTCGAACTCACGACCTCCACATCGGGACTGTCGCCCTGCACATGGGACGCCACCTCAACCAGGTGAGCTTTAGCGGCGCCCCTGTTGGTTCCTTTTTTTAACCTTGGCTCTCAAATGACAACGTGTTTGGGGTTGTAGAAACCCAAGAAGTTTGTGATATTGTCCCGTGGTGTGAGTGCTTAAAGGTTTAGTTTTGGGATGAGTTGTAAGGAGTTGATTCAGTAAAGCAGGTGTATCCGTGTGTCCAGGTGGTGAGACTTACGCGGACACTTCTTGACGCAGAAGGCTCCGTAGGTGTACTTTGCTCTGGGGTTGTGCTCCAGTTGGAAGGTGGTGGGGTTGTACACAAATGGCTGGGGGCACTGGGTCACACATGCCCCACTGTCGTTGAAGTTGGTGCACGCCTGCCAAACAAGCACACAAAAAGCTTCTTTACTCGAATTCATCCAAATTAAAAACACATTTTCTCGCTCGTCCCCGGAGGTGGCGTACAGTAAAGGGGGTTAATGGGATTTCAGAAACATGTGGAGAAACGTGTGCCTTTACAATCATACATATCATACAACCCTAATGCTTGTGCTTAAACATAATTAGAGGATGAAAACATTACATTTGCATTTACTACACTGGATCTGAATTGCAATTTCCCTCCAGAGTACCCAGAGGTGATTTTACCGAATGGCGGAGGCGAAGAATATTCTGCGAGCACCCAATGAAATTACCGCCGGAACAAAATTTAATTTGAGTTTTCTTGCACGTACACGAGCCGTCAGGTTTTCTTGCAAAACACCTCTGGTCACTGTGAGGACACGTGGACGGACAAAAACGTGGTTGAACTGAAGTTGAACCTAAGATAAGCTGGAAACAAGAACAATGAAACATGCAGGACCATCCTGTCGACCAACTGTTTGTAGTTTAGGCTTTGCTGCAGTGGACCTGATGGACCTGAAGAGCCACAGAGAACTGATCAGTGGTATAAAAACTGTTATTTTTTTAAACTAAGATATAAACCGAGCTGTGGATTTGATGGATAACTCATTTCACACTTGGAAAAATGTGATATTTCTGGATTTAAAATTATCTATGTAAATGTTTGAAGACAAAAAAGTAAATTTGATACGAGCCACTTAAAGTCTCTCTCCGGTCACTGATTAAACCCCTGAAGACTTATCGCTGTATAACCATTTAGAGTCCCATTTATGCCTTTAATGATTAGATGTAACACTACCCTGTTGCTTTCTTTTAGAATGTGAGAATCTATGAAGCCTTCCAAGTTCTTCTCCAATCATTCCCTCTCCATTCGCTGCAGCTCGAGCACACCAGCTCACCTACAACTCATGTTTGAACACTGTAAAATTACATTATCAGGTTGTAGTACTGGAGTAATGCAGTCACATGTGTTCGACATGGAAACTGAGGAAGAATCCAAACCTACAAGTTGACAAGATTGGTTCCTCAGGTTTGGTATGACTGAATCTGGGTTTATGTCTTGAGGTGGAGATGCATCTACAAAAGCACCACATGGACTGGTGTATTTTTTTTTTTTTTATCAGTGGGGATCTTTAGGACTTGTGGAGGGGATGTCAAAGACTTCTGGATTTATTCAGCTTTGAGCACAATAAAGGATGGGAAGAATCTGGTATGAAAAAATTATGACAAAGAACCTGCAGAAGAGCTCCGTCAGTGACGGAAATACAACCACAGAAGCAAGTTTAACGCGCAGAGGGATGAAGATAAAACTGATAAAGCACATGGTGGAGAGCCGGGATGGAGGCGAGGTCTATATTTAACAACGACACTCGTGTCAGGAAGAAATGGGAATTAAATGTCATCTAATGATATTTACCATACAAGTGGCATTTTGAGGTATAAAATTGAGTGTGTAAGGGATAAATCCTTTGGCGGATGTACCCTGAATCTAAGGATGGGAAAAAGTCACGAGGAAAATACGTCAGATTTGTAAAAAAAAAAAAAAAAACAGGAAAGTACAGCGTGATCAGGTTATCTGGGTTACCGCGCTGACGTGAGCCGTATCACCAGGAATAGAAGCATGGAAACAACCTGTTCCCAGGATGATGTAAAAGTAAATGTGTGCATGAGTGTGTGTGTTCACTTACAAAGCAGTCTGTGTCCTTTGGGCCATAGCAGCCACCTGCACACTCACGGTGGCAGCAGTCACTAACGTAGGGACCGAAGCACCGGCCGTCGCACTGCTCGGCACACACCGTCTTAGTTACTGTAGAGTGACAGATGCAGAAAAAAAAAAAAAAGATGGAGACAGAAGCAAAGTGGCATCATACACAACAGCAAAAACCCAGCATTAAAACACACCTGTCGGCTCATTTCAGGTGGCGGGTGGTAATCCGTGAACAATATTTAAACAGCCTTAAGAGTAAAAGAAAAAAACTGTATCACTGTGAAACTTTTCAGATGAGAGTGCTGAATGAAGAATGGCATCGAAAAGATATATAATTTGTTCTAGGGCTGCGGTTCAATTTGTCACCTTCTGCTCTGACAGTCATGCAGGTGAAGCTATTCAGTGGAATTAGACAGAAGAGATTCTTCCGCGACTAGACGCCGACTAGATGCACCGCAGGACGACCAATCACGAGTCTAATTGTCTCGCATCTGCGCTGCTATCTCCTGCATGTGTGTGTTGTGTGCATGTGGCGAGCTCAGCCGAAGCCGAGGCGTGCTTCTTTTTTTTTTTTTTTTTGCCACCTACTAGCTATCTTCAATCATGTTTTCGTTTCCCCGTGCGCTCCCCCGAGGGCCTCTGGCTGGATGTGACAGAGACACAGCGATTCCTATCTGACTCAGTGTACAACCGTCAGAGCCAACATCTGTCCAACCCTTCCCTCGCCTGCCTGTTGCAGTCATACGGGCTGCCGTATGCCTGTGCGCCTCTCTCCCTCGACTGCCATATGCAAATGTACACAGGACTGCCATTTCGCAGATAAAGACAGCCGTTAAGAGACGCAGCTTAAGTGTCAGCAGTGGGACTTATAGAAAAGAGCAGGAAAAGATTGCAAAATTATAAGCTACTGGGGGGGTGGATAAAGCAGTGGCATTTACACAGGACAGGCATACATTTCCTGGCAGTGTTAAATATGCACGTGTGTGTTTCATAGATTGAACAACAGGTGGATGCTATATAGAAGAAAAGGAAAAAAGTCCACTCCAGCGTCGGGCTCGTCACTTGACAAAATGATTCCTATTTCAGGAAATGCTTTCGACGCGGTTCATTTCAAATATTTTAACCCCGAGGTTCAGTAATTTGGCGCACAAGTTATCAGTTATACTTCCATCACACCTTCAAAATCCCATCTAGCCTGAAATATCAGGACTCCAGTCGATTTCACCTCTTCCCGAAGAAAAAAAATAACATGATCTGATATCTGATTATCGAACTCCCCGGAGTGTGTAAAAGTGGCGGGAGGAGTTTTTACTGTGAAAATGACAGAATGTAGTTACCGGATGGTTCACTGATCCATCCATTATCTATATCTGCTCTATGGGTCGTAGTATTGGACGAGAGACGGGGTGAAGATCACCTGTCCATCACAAGTCATAGTATTTCTTTGTGTATTTGTGATCAGTTGAAGATGTTTTGTCTGATTTGGATTGTAAACATGTGTATCTGGACAGTTTATAGCAGGGGTGGGCAATCCTGGTCCTCGAGGGCCACAGTCCTGCATGTTTTAGATGTTTCCTTCTTCCAAGATCTTCAAATGATCAGGATCGTTATCAGGCTTCTGCAGAGCTTGATGATAAGCTGATCATTTGAATCAGGTGTCTTGGAAGAAGGGAAACATCTAAAACATGCAGGACTGTGGCTCTCGAGGACCAGGACTGCCCACCTCGGGATTATAGTATTACATTATTCCTGTTTTTTTCTTCATAAATGCATAATTTTAACATTTCTTTTATCTGAGCTGCTCTTTTTCTGCCATCGTGTTCAACACGCTGACAAAGGTTCAAGCAAATGAACCACAAATATCCTAATCGACCCTGAACGTGAAGCATTAATCGCAGTACTTTCTAGGAAAAGTAACAACGCCGGCGTACAACATTAAAAGCCTGCCGCTGAGTGAACGTGCACGTGTTTGTGCGAGCGTGCACGTAGCCTGGTTCCTCTCCCTTTCAGCGGCGCCGTGACGAGATACTATCACCGTGATAGATACAAGCCGCGGACAAGTCGCCAAACAAACAGGCGAGCACGCACGCACACTTCACCCCTAACGCACCATCAGCGGCGTTCCATTAACGTTGCCTGGGCTAAAATGAAATGGCCTGCTTTATTCAAAAGACACTTTGTCAAACAAATGACCTTGCCAGGGAGAGACGCAATGCTGTTTATCAATTTGGCTTTAAACTTCCACTTTAAGGGGGGAAAAAAAAAAAAACAGGCTGGTGACAACAAATACAGAAGGAATCCATCTCATGAAATATGCCTGGAAGCTTCCATTTGAACAGGCTGCGGACAGCGGCATCAGTCACAGGAGCCACTGCCTCTCGCTTCCCATTTACATGAAAGATTTTTTCTTTTTTTGGTTTACAAAGAAACTTCATAAATAAAGATTTTCTTTTTTGCATTGGAAACTTTTTTTTTTTTTTTTTTAACTTAAAGAAATTTTTCCTACAATCTACCAAATGGCATCAAGGGTATAAAGAGCACCAATGAACTTGTTTCATTGTGTATGAGATATAATAAGGGCTACTGCTTGAACTTTATCAGGGACGAGGAACCTTT